GTAGAAATGGGAAATGTACCCGGTAGTGCTCCATCGGGTTCAAGTTTAGCACGTCAAAGACATCATACAGCGGCTTCCCCCTCCTCTTCCACTTCGCCATCTCCACCTCGCTCAGATCGTGCGGCGCGTAGATGTCCCCCACCTTCCACCTTCTCGTAATCTGCTTGCTCAGGTCCTGGCCGCGGAGGTGGTTCGTGTAATCTTCCGTGGCGGCGCTGGAGCGCCGCATCGCTTGCTTCCTCTCGTCTGCCCTCACCTTGCTCTTGCGGATGAGGTTGTAGACTCGTTGGTTCCCCACAGGCGCGTCGGCTGTGACGACGCCGCTTCCGAGGGTAATTTGGGACGCGGGCTGCTGCATTTTGGGGGTAGCAGCAGAACGTTGGGGAAATAGATCCATGAGGTCTTCTGTCGTCCCTCTGGCTCTGGGCGGTTCGTCTAGAGCGGTGCTGTTAACAGGTGTGAGAGGAGGAAGCTGGTCATGCGATTCTAACGTACCAAACCTCGATGCATGGGAAGTTGAAAATGCGGCTTTCACATTCAGTCCTTTCTTCGTAATCTGCCTCACCATATTGAGGCATTGGAATCGTGGAGGCGCCATGGTGGGTGATGCCGTGGTGAGGACCGTAAATGGTTGCGTATGTTGCCCAGTATGAAGGAAGCATTTAAGTCCGTACATTCGTTTACTTGGCGTCGGTAGAACTCCGGCTACACTTATCGCAAATATACTACTATTTTCTATCCCGAGCTCAACTTCTCGACTTCCAACATCTAACAATTTTCAAACCCAACAAAAATGGTCCGCAAGCTCAAGCATCACGAGCAGAAGCTCCTCCGCAAAGTCGACTTCACAACCTACAAGAGCGACAACAACCACCGCGACGCCGCCATCCTCCGACGATACAACATCCAGAAGCCCGCCGACTATGCGAAATACAACCGCATATGCGGCGTCAGTTATTCCCCCCCCTCTCTCTGCGCGCCAAAAACAAAAACGGGAAAAAGAGCGCCATTCTAACATTGTGTATGCAGAGCCTCAAGCAGCTCGCGCACCGCCTGGCTGCCCTCCCGCCCGACTCGAGCTTCCGGCGCAAGCACGAAGAACTGCTGCTCTCCAAGCTGCACGACATGGGCATCCTGCCCTCCAACGCGGCCAATGCTAAACTCTCCGAGGTCGAGAAGAGCGTCACGGTCTCGGCCTTCTGCCGCCGCCGGCTGCCCGTCGTCATGACCCGGCTGCGCATGGCCGAGACGGTGCAGGCCGCGACGAAGATTATCGAGCAGGGCCATGTGCGGGTTGGGACGGAGACGATCACCGATACCGCCTTCTTGGTTACGCGGAATATGGAGGACTTTGTGACGTGGGTGGATGGAAGCAAGATCAAGAGGAATATCTTGAAGTATAGGGAGAAGTTGGATGATTTCGATTTGCTGTAGGGCGGTGGGGGGCTTGTAGGGGTTTTGCTGCCTCAGTGGACGTGGAGTTTGGGACGGGGCATTGCAAGGCGTTGGGGTCTCAAAATAGGCTGGCATTAAACGGAGTATACCAAGTATGGTGTCCAAATTCCGGTATGTCTGCTTCAATTTGCGATGTCATTTCGAGGAGAACGCGAAAATGAAAGCATCACTTATCTTTTTTGTGTTCTTTATCCAGTGGATAAATACTGCATTGCTGCTGAGGCTGGCAAGTTCAGGGTCCTTGTTGATTGGAGAGCCCGTAGCGAAAGCGAGAGCAAGCATGAGGATGTCTACTCTGATCTTGTCTCGTACCATGGTAGCTGCAATGAACATATGCTGATGGAGATAATTGTGCACGCAAGAGTAAGAGAAGTGGTCGAAGAAATAATATTTTCGTGAATGAGTGTGTGTTGCAGTTGGGGAAGAAGAGAAGGAGAGGAAGAAGGCCAGTCTTTGATTGCCATTTGCGAGAGAAAATATTCCTCGTCGCTAAAAGCTGAGTTAGGCTCAAGTTTCCCGTCAGCGCGGAAAGATTGCACATGAGGTATCAACGTTGGAGCATTGGCTAGAGGCTTTTGCTGACAGCCAGCACAACACTCAACTAGTATTCTCAAAATGGGTTGCAATGCTAATGGCTTTGAGGGTAACCTCTGGGCTCGTAGGAAGATTGACTCGCCTCCTCCTGTTCCGTCTCAGAAACGAAAACTTGATCTCGGGCTACGGAAATTGATACTTGGTTCTACTCTTACCAAGTCAGACAACGATAAGGTCATTCCTTGATCGACACACTTCCGCTCCTTCCTCGTTAGGCTGTCAAAATACCAAAAAAAAGTTGAAACCTGCAAAAATGGAATAGAGAGCGAACCCAAAAAACAAAACCAGAAAGAAAAAAAAAAACACATCAAAGAGGCCCGAGAATCCCACAGAGATACGGGAAACTCGAAGCAAAACGTAAGTGAATACAGTTTTCCGGCGTTCCAATTACCAGTTTGTCCTGAAGATGACCCTGCCTACTGAGCCATCCCGCCTGCTGGATGAATATCGTCCACAGGATTGGGGTATATCAATAAGGTGCGAAATTTTTCTGCCGCCGGCGAGCGGAGGCCATGCTCGTCTGCCGTTTCAAGAACGCGGTAAGTGAATAATTATATAATTAGGGCGTCCGCTACTGGTGCTAGGGTTGGATCGAGATGGCAAACCAGCCATGTCCTGTTATTCATGGTAACGATCCAGAGCCTTCCTTGATTTGGGGAGGAATATTAGGGATCTAACTAAGTTTCCACTTACGCTGACCACCGCCGGAGCTGAAGTAAGCTTGCCGTCTAGATCCTCCCAGATTCCGGTGGACCACTTTCCACCTTCGTGGTGTTTGTGGTGGAGCCTTCCAGTGGTTCCAATGCCGCTTGCGAGATAGTCGGGGTCAGAGTCAGAGTTGATCCTTTTCTCGGACGGGGAGGGGGGTCCAAGACATACTACAGATCAAGCCTTCCTGGGCCCCAAGAGGCAATACTCGGTTCGGAGATGACAGTGCCTCCCAACGGTTGCCACCCAGACCAAGTTCTACCGTTCCGTTGATTCACGGCATAATCGTTATCCGGCCCGCGTCCACCGACCGCCAGATGGTTCTTCCTCCAAGATGTAGCGTCCAGGGGAGAAGTAAAGCCCGACCTGTCGAGTTGCTCCCAGCCGATCCAGTGGGCCCCGTCCCAGGAGAGATGGTACGCCGTCGGGTCTTTACCGTGAGCGAAGTAGTCGAGGCTATCCTGGCTGCGAGAGACAGCGACGGCGTGTTAGGCCAGACATCTCTGTGAGAGGGACGCTCAGGTCGAGAGATTGCCACTCCCACCAGAGACGACCGAGGTTGGCATGGTGAAGGTAGAAGAGCGGATCTGGGTTTTCTTGTCAGCAAGAGGCCGGTTGATCTCGAGTAGAGCAATGGGGGACGAGAGGTGCAGTTTATGGAGCTGACTCCTTGTATCGCTCATTCGTCACTCTTGAGCTTAAGCCCTTCCGGACGATTTATTTACTTTGGGCTTGTTTGCTAAGCGAGTCTCGAGGTAGTTCGGGGATAACATAGTAACGTAGGATCGAAAGCATTAGGGAAAAATTAGACCTCTGGATATCAAGCAGTATCGATGCAAAGCTGGGAATTTGTGTGCTGCTCTCCACGTATCGAATGTAATCGCTGGTGGCATTTATCTTGTTTAATAGTAGTTTCGCTTCAATGCCGAAAACAAAATCGAGCGATAAAACAAGACCTTACAATTTACGCCCGTATAATAGAGGCTGCGGATCATTTGAGTAATTACGCCACCAATGTGCCGACCTCCACTCTGTGATATAGAATGAGCCCAGCCACCCAATGATCCCCGAAAGTGTAACCGCTCGTGAAATGACGACGATAGACACCGCAGCACCCGATACACATTTTCCGAAACGGCGCAAATGTAAATGATGATCAAGATGGTCATTAACGCCTATTGCGTCATTAAAAACTTACGGTAATCTCTCGCTATCACCAGTATTCTAGAGAGATTGAAAAGACAACCACAATCAGATAATAGAAAGTAAAAAGCAGTAGCACGTCGAAGATATAGATAGGAAGGAGCAGGGGTACCGAGGTTGTACCAAATCACCAAACCTTCTCCGCCCGCCGCCCGCCAAAACCCCGGATCGGCAAAGCTTAAAAATAGGAGGAGGAAGGAAAAAAACACACGATGCTTGTGGAGGGATTGAACCACACCCGATTTGAACGGATAACCTTTCGCTGGAGCCATCTCTGGAGGCGAACGCGCTCTGCATTGCTTGTTAGAGCATACCATATGTAGGGACACGAGTGGGCTACTCACGCCGTTGCGCCAGCGGTCCCGGCTTGTTGTACGTTGCTGTGATCGCCACGATAGATGCCACCGGCAATGGTTGGTGGATTTATGTTGGAGGGCAAGAGGGGCTGCAGTCCGGGCTGAAATACTTTTTGATGCAATGATTATCCTGCCAGCTTTTCAATCTTTTGACTCGCTCGCTTGATAGCGCCGTCGGAACGTCGGTAAGCTTACCTTGAAAAGAATCTTGTTTATTAAGAGAGTTTAAATTGTCAGTGACGTTCGTTATATGCTGTTTATCTCGACTACTCGCACATGTTTATTCTTGCGTTTGTATTTCGAGTTCCGATCGAAAGTTTTCTTCATTATATGTAATGCTATATTTTATGAAGGCTCTTTCTTTAAGTTATAGCGTATGTAGCGCTGTCTCTACGGCGCGTTATAGCACTTTCGTTAAACGCAAACCAAAGAAAGTATGTTTATAATTTCCTATTAAATCTTCACGCAATCTAGATACAGCGTATAACGATCTTTGCAGCCGAAGGATCATCAGCGGAATGCAATTCTGTTTCATAGCAACTTTTGCAGTAGCGGGAGCTTTTGAAAGCAAGGATTACGAAGAAGTCGACTTTGCGTACGTCTTGAGCATGCGAGAGAAAGCATTTCATTATTTCAATTAATTTTTTTCTTTTTAGATAAAAAGCAACAGAATAGCTTTGTAGAACTTCGTATACTAGAGTGAATTAATTCTAGATAGCCGATAAATATAAAAAAAAAAGAACACAAAATAATAAGAGCGGTAATCGTCGGTTACCTTGAATTTAATTTGTAAAAAATCCCGACCTTGCGCAAGTCGGTCAATTCTTTCGAATTAAAATTTAAGGAAACCGACGATTACCGAGGGATTTGTCTGCACTCAAATGTTTAATTTTCCATATTTATAAAAAAAAAATCCTTTCTTAATATGAGAATTATCCAAGGATTGGTTTAAATACTACCGTAAGGACTTTTTATTAACAAAACATTATAATCAATACGTTACAAGACCTCGATTCGGCTCGCAAAGAAAGTTTCACAACTTTATTTTCACCGCTATGCTTTTTCAAGTTTCCCTCTTCTTGCCAACTTTACTAGTGATCGATGTAAATAATCTCATTCTCATTCACATACAGAAGATCTCAAGCTCGGTATCCGCCTCTGGTCCAAGTCCTCCCTCGGCACCATAATTGATAAGGATGTCACCAAGTACGAGCCGAACCCCCTAGGAGTCGGCACTCATCACTCCAGCCAACCTCATCCATATCCTCGAACCCGAGGGTCAAATCTCCGCAAGCCTTGGAGGTTTGGCCGGCCGTGAACGGGTACGGGATCTGAAGTTCCGCCAGAGATCTTCTGGGCTTCGGGTAGAGCGCTAGGGAAGAGTCTCGAGAGCAGGTTCTCCAGGAATCAAGCGAATCTTGATATCACTGTGAGTAAATTGTCTGTCTTTAATCTTGCTCATGTACAGCGCGAAGAGATCAAGGTGGTATAGGACTTGGGCGGTCTCTTCTTGAGTAATGAAGTAGTCAGTAATTGTATTTGAATATCAGTATGTATGTATGTATGTATGTATGTATGTATGTATCTACCTTATCAGCACCCAAGTGCAAATCATAGAAGAACGACATTTTTGAATATCATGCAAAAATGGTCCATTCGAGAACTCGAGAAGAGTTATTTCTTATCGATAAACCCAAGACACACACACACACACACACACACACGCACAACCGAAAAAAAAGGGGGATCTAAGAAGAAGAAGAAACAGAAGAAGACTCGAACAACTCTTTCAGACACCATCCTGGTGCCCTCGGCGGCCAGCTTCTCGTGATCGAAAGCGCTTCCATACGCGAGATGATCCAGTTGGAGAATCCCCTCTCGGTATGGTACACGTTCTCGTCGCTATTCTTCAGCCTCCAGAACGCGTCATGCTCGTAGCGGGTCCACTTCGTCGGACGCGGTTCCTCCTCGCGGTAGCCGAGCGGGATCCCCGTCCAGAGTTTGGCCGCGCGCCGCGGCAAGGGGAAGAGGTCCGTCCTCGGGCTGGCGTGGAGCGGTGCGAGACCGAGCCGCTGCTCGCCTAACCCCTTCAACATGTCGACGAGGAGGTTGACGGTCCAGGGGTGGCCTTCGACCGGCAGCTTGCGCTCGAGCTCGTCGGCCATCTCGGCGAGGGTGACCCGCTCTACGCCTATGTACCACTGCTCGTGGGTCACGGTCGCCAGTTTGGCGTGGATGGTCTCTCGGATCTGCTGCACCAGCTCGTCGGGTTCCGCCGGGGGCGAGTTGTCCTCGCTGGGGCTTTGGCCGGGGTTCTCGGGCGTGTTAGTGCATGGGTGGCTACTGCCGCTGCTGCCGCCTTCTTCGTCGAACAGTAGGGATTGGTAGGGCGAGGAGCCCTGGGTTGCACCGGTTTCGGAGTAGGTTTCTGAGTTGGACATGGTTGAGGGAAGGTAAGCTTGCAGGAATTCGATTACGCGATGTAGAAGCCGGGAGAGCTGCGGCGTGGTACTGTGGATTCGCTGATGTTCGATTTCCTGAAATAGGGCCTAGATCTAGAGAGGGCTCTCAAGGCAGCTGGATATCTTTTCGACTCGGTATGATGATGTGCGAATTTCGATCGAGGATGGCTGGTATTGAGTGGAAGCGCGTCAGGAACCTAACTGTACTCCAGTCGCTGCTGTGTGACCTCTAGATTAGTCTTCAATACATGAAATGATTCCGGTCACTTTAACTTACCTCTTGTTTTCCTACTTGATTTTTCGTGATGATAAGCGCTTATGCCTGATGATGGTATCTGGCAATAAGTCTTGGAAGGTGATAGAGCTTCGAATTCGCAAGCGGTGCGCAAAGCTAAGGACGAAGAATACCGCTTGAAGGGGTCGATAGTAAGCTGCGTCAAGAACCGCGGAGATAAAGCTCGCCTTTCTGTTTCACTCTTAGTTGAAGATGTTATGAAGGTAATGTTATGAAGATGATGTTATAGAGAAGGAAAAGGAAAAGAAGGTCGCATTGGTGCGAGAAGATTTATATATAAAATTTCCCTTAGCCGCAAGCTCTTGAATCAATCACCTTCTTTCCAGCAGCTTGCGCGCTTGATTCATGATCGAACTATACTGTGAATGCGTGCGACTGGCTCTTTTAATACTTTATCAAAAGGCGATTCACACCTTCCCATCTCAGCCTAGAAGGCGTTTGGCAAACACAATTTGAATCTGATCAGCCTCTATAAAAGATTGCCAGCTGCCAAACGTACAAGTGGCTCAATAGTATCTTCCCAGATTCCAAAAGATCCTCGCATTAATCGACTACGTAAAAACCATCTCATCTTTTCATCTTTGCCAAATCGCAACTGATACAATTTTCAGAAACTAGTTATGCTAGCTCCACCACCTACCTCTGCAAGCCCAAATCCAGCATCCAAATCTGACCGCTCAGATACAATAAGTCCACCGCTCCGTCCGTATTTAAATGGTCGATATTCATTTCACTTTACCTTACCTTACGATCGGCCAGGAGATACACGCTCAAACAAAGCCTCACTTACCCATACATCTCAGCACAGCGCAAGCGGAGAACAATGGTGCCCCTGATAGGAAGGTACACTCACCTCGAACTGCTCGTGCATAAACTTTTATTTCGCACCAGAACTCTTCACATTCGACAGCCTAATCTCTCCATGACCATAAGCTTCAAAAGATAAATAAAAATTATAAAACCTTTAAATGATAAGAAACAGCCTATAGCTATAAGACGACTTTGTTTGAAATCCATTATCTAATAGGGTTAATTAAAGCAGATATGTAGAAAGTTGGCTTTCGCCTAACTCTCAAAGGAGTCTTAAAAATAGGAGCGACTTCAGCTTTATATTTTGTTTGTTTCTAGGTATACTAAACAAGCAGATTCAAGCTTGGCGGTTTTCATCAACTACTTCCCGAAGCCGAAGATAGAAAAATAAAGACCGGCTAATGTTGATTCTTCCCCGAAGTGTTGACCTTTAGTTTTGGTGCGAAAAGTGGTTTTGTGCATTAGCAGTTACCTAGTACCGTACTTACCGATCGCAATTCGAAAACCAAAATTAAAATTTCCTCTTCGTAAGACATTATTCATTATCATCAAACAGTGTATGTGGTAAGCCGCGCCCATGTCTGTAAAAGAGAACCAGAGAAATCAAAGTCTCCCAACCCGCAACGCAAAGATATGAGGAAAAAAAAGAAAAAAAAAAAATCATCCATCTCCGCAGCTCGAGCCGTAAAAGCATCATTCGTTACCCATCCGCTCTTTCCACCTTGAGATATCCCCAGATCCAGCTTCCAGTTGGCTCTTGTACTCAAACACACCACTACCCGTCTTACGTCGTCGTATACCAGATCCAAAGAAAGCTAAGAGAAGATAGAGAGAAATCACCGATCCCGCCGCCTCCTCGAGCTAGAGCCACGATCAGAAGCAGGCGGGCTCCCAGCTCCAGATCCAGCATCCTCTACAAAGCCCCTCAAGAGGTCCTTCCAGGTTTTCCTTCCTTCCATGACCTCCCCAAAACCGCCTACCAGCTTCTCCACCATCTCAGTCTGCCCGCCGCCAAGCCCACTTGACGCACCGCTCATAAAATCACCACCACCTCTGTCTCTCTTTCCACCTCTCAATGGCGAGTTCATGTATGCATTACCATAACGATCTAAAGGCCGACCGTCGCGATCAAAACGGTCTGGCAAGATTTCAACTTCGTCTTCGGAAGAGTTGGGCGACGGAGAGCGAGAATATGCTTTGTGACGGCGGCGATGTTTAGAAGGTTGAATAGGCCGGTCAGAAGTTGTGTCGGAGTTGCGTCTGCGGCGGCGACGGCGGCGAGAAGATGAGTCTCCTTCCCTGTCGCGCTCCCGATCACGAGGTTGAGATGTGCGTACGAGTGCTGTTTCAAAGTCCGAGACGGAAGAAGAACGTTCTGCGTGTGATGCGGAATGGTTGTGGGAATTAGAGTTACTGGGAGCGGCGCTTTCATGGATATCTGCCAGGCGGCGGGACGAAGTAGGTGAGAGGGGCGCGAAGACGACGGATTTGTTGGTTGGGCGTGGAGGAGACTGAGGGGACGTTGAGAAGGGCGAGATGCTTGGAGTGTAGGGATTATTTAGACCGCCTGGAACCAAGGGTCAGTGCAGTTCTTCATATGGATGTGAATCAACAACACGCACCCTCCTCGCGGCCAAACAGATCACGCTGAAATGGATCGCGAGTATGATCATCGGGGAGAGGAGCTACAGGGGGCGGGGGAAAGTATGGCTGTGCGGGAGGCACAGTGGCAGTATCATTTGAACTCACATTCTCACCCGCATGGTGCCCTGAGTAGACATACGGATCATGGTGCAGTGGTGGTGGTGGTGGGTTGGCCCAGTCGGCCGGGTTGTAAGGGGGGATGCCATCGCGGGTCACGTGCGTTGTAGAAGTCGTGGTGTGTTGGGTAAAGCCGGGTTGAGGCGGTGGCGGGAAGGCGTTGTTCTGGGGGTAGTACGAGCCGCCAGAAGCATGTGGAGGAGAAGGAGAGTAGTCGTCTTGATAATCGCGAGCGTAGTAGTTCTCGGGCGGCTGCTCCTCTTCTTCGTATCCTGGCGTGGGTTAGTTTGATCAAAAGATGCTTGACGGCGACTGAAACGAGAGAAGGTTGATTCATTCATCATTTCGGAATCAGATTTGACAATCTTCTTGTCAATCTGCTTCTGATGGACGATGAACGCGATCGAGAACGAGCTCTTGAGTGCTGGGGGTCCTCACGTCTGCGTTCCCTCTCCCTATCTGCCTCCTTTCTGCCCTTTCTCTTCTGGTACTGATTCATACCGATAGCTGCTGCTGCGGTGCCCGCGGCAACCTTGGCAACGGACCGACTGCGCCTTCGGCCGCCTGAGCTAGATGAGGAGTGTCGGCGGCGACGAGATCGGCTTCGGGTAGCCCCGTAGGCCGCCGCCGCTGGTTCGTCGTACCCTCCTGGGTACGTCGTGGTCTGTTGGTGGGTGTACACGGGCTCAGTACCGTACTGCACCATTCCTAACTCTGGGTCAACGCCAGGATCCGAATGTGCGCCTAGAGATCTGGCTCTCGACCTGCTTCTTCGCGACCTGCTCCTTCGCGACCTGCTTCTCCTCCGCGATCTCCTATCGTCTTCAACTCCCATGGTGCGGTCCTCACCTGCCTTGCGGTTCTCGTACAGTCCTGCCACGGCGGCTCCCGCCAGTCCAGCACCCGCAATCTCAGCGCCGGTTCGTAGGCGTGACTTTGATCTCGATCCGCTTCGTTTGCGCGACTTGCTCCGGAAATGCTCCACAACCCCAGCGACCGCGGCCGTCGCAGCTCCTGCCTTTGCGATGCTAGCAGCTCTGTGTTTGGGATCGGCATGCTTGCTGCGGCTTCGGCTCTTTGACCGCTCATCGTCGTAGGAGTCGTAATCGTAGCCGTATCGGGAACCGCGACGTCTCGAGACACTTCGCGTCCGACTTCGTCCCCGGCCCATCTCCTCCCTGGTCTGTTTGCGGTTCGAGACGTACTTTGCCGCCGCCGCGGCCGCCAGACCAGCGGCAGCAAGACCAAGCGCAGTCTTGACCTTGTGGTGTGAATGTCGACTGCTGGATCTGGACCTCGAGCGGCTGTAGTCGCGGTACCGACTCCGCGCTCTGGTGAGAACTTCTGCGCCGATGGCCCCGAGAGCCGCTCCCCCAACCACATTCCGTTTGCCGTGCCCGCCTCCTTCGCCCGTCTTCTTCCGGTGGTCGGCGACCAGAGCAGCTACTCCCGCGCCCGCCAGTGCGCCTTCGGCGAGATGTCTCCGGTGATGTGGGCTGCTGCTTCGGCTTCGCTCTCGGCGGACGATTTTCCTCCTCACGACGTAGTCTTCGCTATCGCTGTAGGCCCGATCGCTGACCGAGTCTCGCGGGCGGATGTCTCGGCGATCGTACCTGGCCATGGCAAACTCCTCGTCTTTGCGCCTGCCCCCGGGCCCCACCTGGCGCACATCTTTGCGGTAGTAGTATTCATCTTCCGCTCGTCTCGGCTCGGGGACTCGCGCCACCTCCTGCTTGACTTCCTGCCTCACAATCTGGACCTGCTCCTCGCGCGGCGGGAGGACGATGGGTGGCGGCGCGGGGGCTTCTTGCACGATGATCTGCTGGGGTTCCGGGGCCCGCTGCCGGATGATGATGGGCTGGGGGGGTGGTTCCGGCCGATCGTAGTACTCGGTCTCCCTCTGATATCTCTCTAGCTCGTACGGCTCTTCCCTTCTCTCGCTCGTCGTGCGCTTCTCCACCCGAACGAGGTCCGTCTCCCGCACGTCCCGCTCCAACTCCCAGGGCTGGGCCGGACCCCGGTCCCACGGACTGCGCTCCACCGGGTCGCGCCGGTCCCGCTCGTAGACGACGGTTCGTGTGCGCTCGCGTTCACGCTCGCGCTCCGGCTCGGGTTCTCGCTCGATGACCCGCTCGATGTAGGTGCTCCGCGGCCGGATGTCGATGGAGCTGCGGGGCCTCTCGGGCTCGACGAAGCGTTCACTGCGGCGGTCGATTTCGATGCGCTCGGCGCGCGGGGCATCGAGTCTGGTGGAACGGCGGTCGATCTCGACTTCCTCTATCCTGCTGGGCGTGACGCGGTATCTCTGGACGGTACGATAGGAGCCGTCGCCAGCCCGGGAGCGGCTGACTATGGAACTATGGCCGTCGTCGTCGTCGGAGTCATAGCCGCCGTCGCGGTAGGTGCGCGTCACTCGGGTGACTTCTGGCATGTCGGAAGGGGAGGTTGGAGAGAGAGTGTTGATGTAGTGATGTGGTGATGTGGTGATGTGGTGATGTGGTGATGTGGTGATGTGGTGATGTGGTGATGTGGTGGTGAGGTTGGTGAGGTGGTGAAGTTGGTGAGGTTGGTGAGGTAGGTGGTGGAGTGGAGTGGTGAGGTGAGGTGAGGTGGAGGGGAAGAAAGAAGGATAACGAGGGGTCTCAACAGTAGAGATGAGGGAGTTGGCTTGGCAGGGCGGGGGGAGTGGCTGGTGATGCGAATTTTAGGAATCGAGAATTTCTCGTCTGATCCTGATCAACTGACCGACCGATGACCGACGACCGACGACCGACGACCGACGACCCACCATCGCCGCCGCCGACCAGGCTGGTGGCGATCCAGGATCACCCCTTCTTGACCCCTTCCTCACCTTGCAATCTTAAATGCCCCTCTCACCTTGCCATCCTAGATGCCCCGCTCCCACCAGAAAGTCCCCGGGACTTCCAGCCTTCCATACCCAGCCTCTCTTCCCTACCCTCTCCCTTCTCCCCCTTAGCCAACGGGCCAAGAGTGCCCAGCTTATGCACCATGACATACTTCGTACGTACAGGATGAAGGGTGAGCCGTATCCAGGTCCGAGAGACCACAACCTGGAACATCCTGGCTGGCCCGTAGAACCGGGCAGCCAGCGTAGCTATATATGTACCTATATACACCTATACCCGTACTATATATATAGATATATACATATACATATATACATATATACATATATACATGCTACGTACAACGTATATACAGCATCATAAGAGCTTGGAAGGCATCATTCGTATCTGGCCGGAAAAGTCAAACAGATGAGTGCTGGTCAGGATCACCTCGACTTCATTGGCAACATCAGCTAGTACGTCGTGATATACCCGATACGAAAGTAGCGATAGTTAATGTTCGAAGATGTGACGAATAGGAAGCCCTGACGAAGGGTATCGATTGATTTACAATTATTCATTACATTAACTGTAGTTGTTCCGCGAGAACGCAAGGCCTGATGGACACTCGCTATTATCATCACTTTCGTTATCTTCATCATCTTCATCATCTTCATCATCATCATCATCATCCAGACCCAGACGGCGTGTAGCCTCCGCAATCTTGCTCGCACCCTTCTTCAGCTTCTAGAACGTCGGTGGGAAAGCCATGACCTCCTCGCCGAGAGCCCCCTTGACATCGGTATCCAGGCGGGCACGGCCAACCTGATAGTCGATGAGCCATCGCCAGACCTGGCGCGCGTCAATCCGGCGGATCTGGCGCGCAGCCGTGCCGGCCGACATGTCCGCAAAGTTGATGCCGGTGACGGCCCGCAAGAAGCGGGTCCCGCCCCCGAGGATCGTGTCGCGGTTCTGGTCGTAGTAGGCCAGGAGCGTCACCAGGTCGGCGCGGAGGGAGGCCCGAACGATCTGGCGCATCTCCGAGTCCTGGTCCGGCTGGCCCTTCGCAGGCTCCCCCAGGAGACACAGGAGAGCAATCTTGGTCGGGACCCTCTCGCGCTGGAGTACGCGGGCAACGCACTCGTGCTCCTCGGGGCCCTTGGCCTGCTCGTCACCGGACTGGAAGATGGCTAAAGCCTTCCGGAAGGTATCCGCAGGCCCCTCCCCCGGGAGAGCGGGCGGGTCGACCACGAAGTCAAAGTCGCGGGCCTTCTCCATCAACTCTTCGCAGATCGGGATGTTCTCCACGTTGAGAACATCGGGGAGATGGAAGCATCCGGTGAGGGTCCGGAGACGGTGCATCATGAAGTCCTCCATGTTCTTCTCCTCCTTGTGTTTCATGGCCAGCCGCGCCTGGGCAAGCCCGCGATCGCTCGCGTCAGGAAGAGCGACGGTCTTCTGGGCGAGGAGCATGAACTCTTTCATGTCGCTCTGGAAATCGACGTTGCTGAACTTGTGGTCCCGCTCAGCAGCGGTCATGCGCGGGTAGCTACGAGCCTTGATCTCTCGGTCCAGCTCGTCGGCCCTGCTGAGGGTCCATTGCACCATCGTGTGCAGTTCCTCCTCCATGATCAAGTGGTTGGTGACGATGGCGTACTTGAAGAGCTTGACTAGGGCATGGCCGGCGGAATTCTTCCACGTGGCGACGGCGTGCGAACTCACGTCCTCGTCGACAATCTTACACTCGAGGCTATCGATGGCCGTGTTCAGGTCGTCGATGAGCCCTAGAATTCGCTCACTGTTCAAGACGAGACGGCCCTCGCCATTGTCGATAATCTCGTACTTGAGATCTAGATCGGCCAGCTTGTTGATGATCTTCACCATCTCGGCCGGCTCGCCGACGGGGGAGGTGGACGTGGTGCGCTTCAACTCGGGATCATACGTATAGACATTGGTCGCAAGATATGTCGCACGCTCCATGTCGAGGGCAGCATTGATATGAGGGTGGCTTCGCTCGTAGGCCTTGCGTCTTGCGCGGATGGCAGCGCAGTCGTACTCCAGTGGCGAGGTGGGCTCTGTTTGCTCATCCGCACGTCCGACCTCCTTTCCCTTTCCTTTGCTGCTTGTTCTCACCTCCGCGGCCTTGGTTTCTCGATCGGCGACGAGTGCTGCGTTGGATTTGACAGACTCTTCATCCTCCGGAGCCAGATGCTTGCTACAATCACCACAGGCACCGTTGTAAATACCGGGGACCATGCGATGAAATGTTCTGTACAGGACGGCCTTGTGGGCGTTGCCCTCGGCGTCCAATCGAGGAACTCCGCGTCGGTTCGGGATATCAACGTTGAAGGGAACGGCCGCGTCCATCTCCCATGTCTCCATCACCTTCTCGAGCTCGTCGCCAGCTAAGCCTTCGGACTTGCACGCCTTGAAATACTCGGAGCGCTCCTCGCGGTATTTGGCCTCTGCGAGATAACACCTGGTAATGGCGTCCTCCTCCTCCTTGGAATACTTGCGAATAGCTAATCTCTTGTACAGAGGGACATAGCCAGGGGGGTGGGGAGCGGCGGCGTTCTCGAGCAGATCGTCTTCTTCCACCAGCCTGAGTCTGCAAGTTAGCACCGATTGCTTTCAATATTTTCGGAGAGGGTATCCTCTGGGATCATTGATTCCATCGCCGATTCCGAGACATGATCCCCACACCGAGACGCCAGGAGAACAGGAGGGGGGAGCTGCTGACCAGTCGAGGAATTTATTTCGGGCGATAGGCAGGCCATTACCATATCTGGTCATGGACTTCGTTGTTGGCGCAGAGTGTATGGCGTCTCGTCGCTCGCGGTGCATGTTGATGCGACCGGTTTCGTGAAGATATTCCTCACCTGTATCATGTCTGTCAGTCTCTACCGTCGAGCTGTCTGGCTACGGGTTAGCGGAAAGAGAGAGATTGTATATGCTTACGGGCGTCGATTCTAGACTTGGTAGTAATGATCGTGGCAGCGATCTTGTATTCATAGAAGCAGTACGCCTCGGTGAGATATTCCTCAGTGACAGGGTAACCATCCTTCTCGAGACGAGCCATAATCAGCTTGATATGTTCTGGGTTGATCTTCGGATCGGGACTGCAATCATGCTTCTGTTAACATTGTTCTTCTGTCACCTTGAGGATGTTTGTAAATCTCTATTCGTATTATCGCGCTCCGAGACTCGAGAGGCCTCTGCACACGTGCGAGGGAGTCTCTTGGAAGATACGAAAGGAAGGGTCGAGGAAGGATACAACTTACGCGCTAGGTGCATCTTTGACCTTCGCATCCAGGTCGGGCTTTGCCAGATTGTGATCGCAAATGAGGCTCTTGCAGAATCTTGGGCCGCCGCAGGGTTTGGTGTAGATCTTTCCGCCAGACTTGGTATACAGCTGCTTGATTTGGCTAGCCAACGAAACACCTTCGTTCTTAGATCCCGAGGTGAGACGTGCAATCGTCTCCTCGACAGTAGGATTGCTCATCGTGGCTGCAGGTTCGTAGTCGAAGTTCTCATGAAAGCGAGACTCTCGGCGTCTGGGTGCTTCAAGTTTTTGAAGTGCTTCAAGTGCTTGAACGAATGGGTCCCGGCAGTCTTGAGTAGAACAGCTCAACAAGGTATTAAAGTGTGAGATGGGGATGTTGAAGTAGGTTGCGAGCTCAAGGGGTGGCTTGGAAGGGGGTTGTTAGCACGCGTTTCCGACTCAAGAAGGTGAGGTTGTGATTTCCGAGAGAGGAGGAATTGTAGGGTGGGCCTGTCGAAGCGAGTAAATAAATAAACGCTAGTGTCGACGCGTGACTTCCCAGGCAGGAACTGCCCGGCTTTAAAGCAGCAACACAAGGCTAGATTCCAATTGAATGGAGCCATTGTCTGGTCGCAAACATGAGTACTAGCATCAAAAGCAGAATGATACCGGAAACGATAACCTGCCTCCACCATCTCCAATATACTCTGCACAACAAGGAGCTTTCAGGATACAGGAACAATATATGAAAGCGAAGCTTAAATGCGTGCAGTATTCCGCAGGAGAGCCATAGCATATATGAAATGTATCCATGAACCCCGAGGGTACAGAAACGCGGAGAACTTCATCTATACTCTAATCTCCCACCTCTTTTTTTCTGAAGTACAGCTAACTTTTTGTGTCCAGGGTCCTCAATGGCGTACCGTTGCTCAACTTGGATGCAGGCATCGCTCCCCTCTAGGCCAAGAACCAATTGGATTTTTTTTTTTGCCACTGTTCCTCCAGAGGATAGGAAAGAAGAAGTATGAGACATGCAACATCAGCCTGCCCCCCACTCATCAAGATAGAAACAGAACTCTGTTTATTCTATCTTGAACTTTGAAGAGCATTTGGAGTAGATATGGGCAATCAGTGACGGATAAATAGCTGAGAGGACATGTATATGGTGCAGTGTACGCAAAGCTGCAACGTACCTCATGTTCTGAAGTATAACGTTATGTTTGGAAGTAAAACTGGTAGCCGCGACTTGCCAAGTGAAGCTCAAGTGATGTCTCACCTTCTCCCTTTCAAAAAAGAGTCAAATCAACAGAGAATGTTCTGATGTCCCGCTGTGGTATTCAAGAGGAACCGGCCATGTAGATGGCAGGGTAGTAGCAGATTGGCAACTTTGCCATTGCTCAAGCCGGATATCAAAATTCAAAAGTAAACTGATTGGACCCCCGAAGAGAAGATCCGAGATGGCACAGAGAGCCCCAACATGTGTGTAGCTGTATGGAAAATTTGGGGCCGGCGGCGAGACTGGGGTGATTTGCCAAGTCGTTTCAGCAAGCCATATCTTGTGTTTGGGGAAACTGATCGGCTTTCGGCATATACCAATTCAAGATCCACTGCCACTGTTTTATTCCCGGGAGAGTAAAGACAGCAGGTTGTCGGGCGTGCTTGTCGCTATGTTTATGATAACAAGATGTTTTCTGAACATAAAAAATAGTATGTGTATGTGTGTGTGTGTGTGTGTGTGTGTGTGTGCTGTGCTATTGTACCATTGAGAGGAAGTTACATACCGGCAAAGAAGTAGCCATGTCGGTAATGGAGGAGTTATGATTCTATTTGGACAAAGTTAGTAGGTTTTTCATCTTCTTCGCTGTCACGGTCGCCTCTTCGATCTTAGATACTTCAAAGTCCAGGTGTTTGTGAGACAGTACCCAGACCGGGAGGCGCACGAGTTTGCAACCTGTTTCCAGGCAAAGGACTGGTACAGAGCTCGAAATCCCCGCGGAATCTGAACGATGTCGCCAGCACTTCTCTGCGATGGATATACCTTGGGGTAGAAGAGGCCTATGATGGATGGAGAGTAGATAAGGAAAGCTCGAGGCCTTGAACTTCTAACTTCTACCAGCTGAAAGCCAGCTGCGCAACCACAGTTCCCATCCCATATGCACATGACGATAAACAAAGATGGATAGAGAGGGATTCGATCAGATCAATCGGGCAGAGAGAGAGGGGGGATATGATACATACTGGTGTCTCCACGCCGCTCTCTGCGACCTTCACATCCTCGTCTGCCTTCTCCGGACTCTGCATCTTCTGATGGCCTTTAACTCTTCTGTTGGGAGCCATCTTGAGTTCTTGAGGGTTGCTTAGCAGAAGCTGAAGTTCGCTGTGTTATAGTGTTGTGGAGAAGTTCACCTAGGAGGTTGGGGGGGGGGGGGGCGGGGGGGTGAGGGGGAGGGGATTTAGGGCAAGTGCTGTGGGAGGGAGATGCTACTAAACTCAAAACAGGAAAGCATGGGATATAATATTCTAATGACTAAGCAGTTTTTCGAAATGATATGGTGGCTATCAATTAAGAAGGGGTTCGAAACTGTGATTGTCGACTATACAGAAATTCGAAACTATAGTTGTCGATTAAGCGAGGTTGCCATAAAAGGAAAACTTAAAAGCAAGATACCAATGTCTCGCGAGCTATAAAGGAAGAGACGATATACCTAGCTAGGTATGAAGAATCTATGCTTTATGAAAGAGAACTATCAGTTTCTGAAAGAGATTAAGAGTATGATTAATTAGGCTATTTGAATTATGCTTAAGAAATATGGTAAGATTTTATCTGATGATATTATGCTTTTCTTTGAAATAATCAATATGTTAAAAATGTAAACTAAAAAGATTAGATTGTTAATCTTATAGACATAATAAGATATAGGGACATTATAGCTGCTACGCATGAATATCAAGGGATAGATTGCTTTGTTTACTTTCGTTTAATTTTATACAGCTAGAAATTTCATCTTCAGGACAAGTGGTATGGACTAGTAAAGGTGATAAAGAAACTTGGAGAGAATTGGGAAGTCGAACTACCACCAACTTGGAAGATTCGCCTAGTATTCCACGCCTACTACTTACGAAAGCACACCTCTAACCCATTACCTGGTCAGGTTAAGCCTTAGCCAGCACCTATTCAAGTGCTACCTGATCAAGACGAATAGGAGATCGAGCGAATCTTAGGATCCCGTATACACCGAGGAGCACTTCAATACTAAATGCAATGGGTAGGGGTAGACGAAGACCTCAAATGGTACCCTTGCTCTGACGCTATGACAGCGCCTCACTTGCTTAAACAATTCCATTTGACACACCTAGCAGCGAAGGGACCGCCAAGAGCTCTGCCACTTTGGCTGGAAGCTTACAGTGAGGGAAGAGACGATTATAGGGAATAGGAGGACGATAAGCCAATGTTAGCATTATTAGGAACTGAAAGGACGCAATTCTTCGGAGGGGGGGAAGGGGGGGGTGATGTTACGGTAGTAGCGGCGCTACTTCGTAAGGCACTTCGTGAGGCAGTTCACGAGACCTAGGGACACGTAGGACACGCATATGAGTTACACGTTACCCCGTGACCCTTACTTCCCGTCTTGGCAAGCCTGCCTATAAGACCTTTTCTCTTGTGCCTAGATCTCCTCTTAGGCTGCTCCATAGGGCCCCATGGGGCCCCACGGAGTTTTGAGTCCTCCCCACGGGGGAACCCACGGGGGGTACAAAATTCTCCCCTCCTTATAAGGAAACCCCATAGGGCATAAAGTTACCTTATAAGGTTTATACATAAAAATATGCATATGCATAATTAATAATCAAGATTACTAATCAGGTTTACTAATTATATTTACTAATCAGATTTACTAATCACATTTATTAATTAGATTTACTAATCAAATTTATTAATCACATTTACTAATCAGATTTACTAATCATATCTACTAATCAGATTTACTAATCACATTTATTAATCAAATTTACTAATCATATTTACTAATCAGATTTACTAATCACATTTACTAATCACATTTACTAATCACATTTACTAATTAAATTATTAAGCGAAGCGCTATTTTCTTTGTTCCGCTTCGAGTTCGTGTTTTAAATATTATAATTATTCACCTTTTTTAAATCGAAGCCTTGCATCGATTACGATCACGCGATCACGCAAAGCGTTCCTTTTTTTTTTTCGCGTCGAGATCGTATTTCAAATATTATAATTCACCTTTATTAAATCGAAGCATTGCATCGATTATTATTAAGCGACGCGTTATTTTCTTTATTCCGCGTCGAATTCGTGTTTCAAATATTATAATTCACTTTTATTAAATCGAAGCATTGCATCGATTATTATTAAGCGACGCGTTATTTTCTTTGTTCCGCGTCGAGTTCGTATTTCAAATATTATAATTTATCTTTATTAAATCGAGGCATTTAATCGTATAGCAGAGGCATATTAGATCTGGATCAGAATCTTTAAAATCTTCGTCTTTATCTTCGTTCTTAGTCTCTTTTATATTTATTACGTTATTTGCTAGGTCTTTACCGTTGCTTACGTAATACGCAATACGACGCGTTTGACTTAGCATCCTTTAACTTTGCTTTATTTAGACACGATTCTGCAGCATTTAAATACGACTTTAACTCAGCATCCTTCGACTCTGCTTTATCTAAATACGACTCTAATTTAGTATTTTTCGACTCTGCTTTATTTAAATACGATTTTGCAATATCTAAATACGAATCTAATTTAGCATCCCTCGATTCTGCCCTATCTAGATACGACTTTGACCTAGCATCCTTCGACTCTGCCTTATTTCAATACGATTCTGCAGCATCTAAATACGAATCTAACTTAGCACCTTTCGATTTTACTTTATTTAGATACGACGCATCTTTTGCTTTAGCTTCGAACGAGTCAAAGTTATATTTCGAAGAGGTAAGTGACGTTAATATATTAAATAAAGCTGATAGTAATAAATATAAAAGCGATATAAAGATTAAAACGAATAACGAGCTTTAAAAGTTTTTACGATAATATATTTAATTTCGTATTAAATATTTTATATTATATGCTAATATATATATATAAGACGCTATGATTGCACCGGACGAAAAAGAAGAAGTATTAAATACGTTCGACTTCGATGTATTTCGACTTCGAGACTTTAAAATCGATTATTTAGATCTATAATTACTATTATTATCTTTACTTTTAATATTCGAAAACCTTTCCGATATAAAGTTTATTGCTATTTTTGCTTTAAAGGATCTTATATTTCTATTCTATTTAGCATTCGAGCTATAATGTAAAAAAAACTCGATATTACGCACGAAATATATTCAGCTTCGATAATTATTTATAAGAGCTTCGAATATTATATTTAAAGGACTTATAAATGAAGATGAACAACTAATACTTTAATTGCCGTTGCGAATCGATACTTTAAAGCGCTAAGTGCTTATTTACTATTATTGCGTTTCTTGAAAAGGCCGATCATTATTATATTAAAAAAGCAAGCTACATTCGCAAAAAAACAAAAAAGCAAGACTAAGTATATATATATCGTGCGTAAGATATAGCATTATTAGTACGATCTAATAGACTTGATTACTGTAGAAGCACCCAAAAAGATGTGCATTGTGTTGTATAGAAGCCAAATAAAGCGTAAGAATCGTCTTTTTCTTCGTCGAGCATAATCGAGATATTTAAATCGTACTTTTAATAAAGTATCTAAATTATTAATATTGTTAATCTTTAAGAATTGATAAGTTAAAAGTTAAAAAAGCTATTTGCTAATCTTAGCGAGCTTTTCAGATTAAGCGAATGTTAAGGTTTAAGCGAATTTTTCGGTTCCAGCTCTTTTTCGCTTTCGCTTTAATCTTCTTTTACTTTTACTTCTAGTACTTGCAACTCTTTTAGCAGCTTTTTAACTTCAAAGTAATAAGGTTTTATCGAAGTAGACTTGAATTCCGTAAGTCTCGAACACGCTACCGTGTACGTATGCCTTTACTTGCTAAGCATTTGAAAAAAGCTTTTCTAGCCTTGATTCTCTCGCTATACGAGTACTCGTAAACTAATAAAAAAGTCCAAAGTATACTTAATAATTAGCTTATTCTTCTTTTTAAGCGCGTCCTTAACTTGCTTCGCCGCGTAGTATTTCCGTACTTTTTTTATAGCTTTATTAATAGCAGCAACACGCTTTTAAGTAAACTGTGACGACACGCCAGGTCTCCTGGACGCACCTTATATGCGCCAAGCTACTTCCTTCTTTTTTTCCTTCGTATTCTTCGTATTTTCTTATTCTTCGCCTTTGACTTATAAACTATAGTTCACGAGTCTTTAGCGCTCTTACTTTCGTGTATATAAACTTCAGCTACTTTCGACTTTTATATTCGGTAATTATTAATTTTAAGTTATTACTTTAAGATTTTTTTAAGCTTTTATATAAACTTTCGCGCTTTCGTGAGTTCTTTTAAGTAATCGCTTAAGGTCGTCACATTATTAACAACTACTTTACTTCGCTAAGAACGGCTTTAATAATATTCTTTTTCTTTAGAATTCTTTAATAGTTAAACGTTAAAACACTTAAACGACTTTAACGGTTACGAAAAAGCTTATTTTAAGTATAACTTAAAGGATAGCACTTATATAATATAACAACCTTCGCTTCGCGGATAAAATCTTCCGCACACTTCTTAAAGCTGCTTTAGCAGCTTTTTTTTTTTTTTTTACGGCTTAATTAATAGTTCCTTTTACTTAAAAAAAAGCTATTAGTAAGCAAGACGATAAAGATGATCCTTCGGCCTTTATTAACTTCGAAGAAGCCTTAGCTTAATATTAAGCTCTTTTCTAGTTTTAACGAGAAGCCGCTAAGCTTAAAAAGCTTTTCGCAGATATAAAAACCCGCAACGAAAAGCTCGATAAAAGCGCTAGCAAATAAAAAACCTTCGCTAATAAAGTCGAAAAAAAAGCTCGTCGAGCTCGAAAAGAATTAAATTAGTTTTAAGCGGTCTTGCTAATTACGGAACGCTCGTTAAAGCTTTTTTAAGTGTCTTTTGAAGATAATTTTAAAAGCAAAGAGCTATATAAGCTTTCGGTCTTTTAAATTATTCTTTTTACTTATAAAACCGTTAACCTTCGCCGCTTTTTCGCCGACGACGATAAACTACTTTTTCTTTATAAGCTAATTAACTTTCGCACTTTAATTAAGTTCAATATTCTTAAAGCTTTTTCTTTAGCTTTTTAAGGTCGCGCTTGTATCGAGCGGATTTTTAACTTTAAACAAAAGCTTTTAAACGACGTA